AAAAAAAAAAAAAAAAAAAAAAGGGCTCCCTTTAACGAGCATCGCGTGGGACCATCTAAAATTCGGCGCCTTTCCTCGTTCAAACTGTACATGCGCCTCCCACGTGGGCCCACCCTACCAATTCATTATTTTCTTTTCCTTTTTTTGCTTCACAATTAATTAAATCTATAAATTTTTATAATTTTGACTTCTCAAATAAAATATAAATAAATATAATTATGCATACATCCCATATCTAACCTTTTTTTTTTCTTTAATATAATAAAATTTAAATTTAAATTTAAATTACAAAAAAAAAAAAAAAAAAATTGGGTTGTGAACTTATTCAGCATATAGTCTGCCCAACCTACCCAAAAGGAACATAGTATTTTACCTCTTAAAATTCGAGGTAAGTAATTAATTGGAGAAGTTTTTTCTATAAAGAGCGGATTACTTTCTTAAAACTTTGACTTATATGCTTCACTTGATGAAATCTTACGTCTTGACTTGTATACCATGTATGAAATGCAATAGTATGACACGTGATTTTCTAAATAAGGCTTAGATATGAATGTGTTTAGCTTTCTATATTACAATTACGTATGTTTCCTTACATGTTACGATGTTACTATAACGTGATTCTAGAGGGTCGCCAATTACTTTAATAGCAAAAAGTCATTTGTGGCTGACCCACGCATGTATCTTAGTTGATTTAGGCATGAGATGGCTTCTCTCATGTTAATGGTTATTTATGTGTCTCGTCGTTTTATGGTGAGACTTTGGAGGATCACCAACTAGTTTAACAGCGAGAAGGAATTAATTATTTAAACACCTAGACGAGTTAAGATTAAAAATATGACTTGTATGTTTTAAGATAAGTATGAATGGATATTCAAGGTCGTACAAGTGGAGCTATTTACTGAGTATTTTTATACTCGGTTATGTTACTTTTTTTCTTTTCAGATAATTCCTGATACACATGACACGTGATGAGAAAATTTTAGAACAATGAAACTACGATGATGGAGACAAATTAGAGTCTTATGCTACGTTCCAGTAGTTGTTGTCCATGTTATTCTATTTTCTTATTGTTTTGTCCTCCTTTTATGTGAATAATTTAGGAATATATATATATATTTTTATGTAAAATCAATGTAAATTATGAAGGATAGTGGGATAAAAAGACTTGAATATTTTAATATTTTGAGTCGTTTAATAAATTTAAATGTTTTATTGGAAAACTTTTCATCATTTTAGGTAGAGAGTAGTGACTTTCTTTACTAGTATATAATATGACATATAATTATACTATTAAAATTGTAATGATTAAGTCGGACTTTTTTTTTATTTTTAATGTGACATTCTGAGTGATGGTATGGTACATGAATGAAATGATACCACATTTGAATGAGAGCATTTTGGGGATAGGATATCTAAGAAAAGCTTAAAAGAATTGAAAATCACTGTCTATACCAATGATGTGTATTTTTTTTAATTTTCCCAATGACTCAATTATAAAAACTTAATGATTAAGTGTGTTAGAAGTACTCGTGTTGGTTCGTGGGGACAGTCTTCACTTTTAAATGAATTTATTCACTCTCGAACAGGGAGACGATGGACACGGGCCCCACCGAGTATCTAAAAGCCACCGAATTTCAGAATTTAAAAAAAAAAAAAGAAAAAAAAACAAATACATTTAAGAAAGAGATAGATTGTGTCGCCTTGTGGCAGCGAACTTGGCGCCGTCAATCGGGGACTTAACGACCGTCAATTTCCAAAAAGCCATTTCGGCTCACTCGACCGCGCGTGACTAACGGTCGTTGGGAAAGCAGTTACTGGTTTGTTTTTTTCAACCCCATTTGTAATTTTTCCAAATTATTTAGTTAATTGAAAAATTAAAAAAAAAAAAAAGCAAATTTACATAAGAAGTCGTGCACGTGCATGGGGAAGGTCAAGTTCACGAGCGGACGCTTCACGTGAATCTACGGTACACGTTATCACCACTCATCTATTTTTGCTATAGTGCGCCGACTGCTTTGCAACTCCACGGGAAGCTCTAAATTACTTCATATAAACATTTTTTTATTTAAAATATTACAATATTAAAATTGAGATTTTTTTAATTGGACAATATTATTTATTTGAGAGAGAAAAATTAATAATTACTATGATTTAACTTAAAGAACACCTATATCATAGGTACGAGTTGTTAATAATAATAATAATAATAATGATCTAAGTTACTAAAATGTGGACATTTCATCTACTAGGAAGCAAAGTCAAATAAGTTGGTCCAAACAACGGAGTTAGATGGTCTAATTTTAGGTATGATAATTTATGGAATATTTAAGATATACCACTTTTGATTTTATTATTGACCAAACAAAATGTAATAAATATTTTTTTTTGATAAGAAATTAGACTCTGTCAAATTAATTACAAAAGCACTTTAACTCACAAAGTTAAGGTCTACTACTCATCTTAAATGAGATGGATAATCTCTATTTATTTAAACTAGGAATGTAATAACCTAAAATAAAAATAAAATAAAAAAAGTGATTGAGAAAGTGGGGGTTGGACTCAGCTATAAAAGGGAGGTCTCTTAGTCTTCTTTTCATTCCATTTGAGTAATTATTTGAATCCAGATGTATAATACATTTTCTAAAATCAAAATCCTTTAGCTCAATGTTTTTATTTTCTTAAAATAGGGTCATTGCTCACGACTTGATCTCTTGCAAAATGAGACAATAAAATTTTGGTTGGCCTTATACAATGACTTTGGTGATTAAGATATATCATAACCATATAAACTATAAAGTATGCATACATATTTAATCGCCAAATATATAATTTCAAAAAACAAAAATTAAGAACACAAAATATATATATATATTAAAATGACTTCTGTGTCTTTCTATTGAGTAGCAGAAAAAGAAACATTTATTTTATTTATTTATAATATAAATTCTTCAATAATTTTTTAAATTTAGGGTATGTTTGTCTAACAACTAATAGTAAACTAGTTGGGACCCACAGAGGAAATATGCCACGTGTCTGATAGTAATGGGTTGGGGGGCGTATATGGGGGTGGTATGACACGTAAATCCCCGGCCAGGGTGGGCCCACAAAGACCGTGGTCGGCTGCGGAGATGCGGTGTCCACTGCCGGATTTGGCCGTATGGGTTTTCAGTTAAGTGAGCGGCCAATTTCCAAGATTTTTTTTTTCTTTTTCAAGTGAAACTACCCTTTTGCCCTTGTACATTTTAATTAAATCTTTTTATATTTATTGTCGCTTGAATTAAATTATAAGTTTTATATTTTAATTAATTTTTGTGTCTATGTTGGAATGGGCTTAGTTTTAGGTCGTCAATTAATCTCTAACGACACTTTATCTTACACGATTGACTTACACATTATAATTGGTTTAAGTTTGGAGTCCCTCTCCTTCTAGTTGGTTTTTAGAATAAAGTTGGTTACATTGAAGTTCATCAACTAACGGGTAGTATCACTTGGTTGATTGAACACCTAAACTATGAATAATTTTGGACTACTTCAACAATAGAAAAATGAAACCTAAACTAGACCCTCTAAAAGAGAGAATTGGGACAATAGTCACAACGTTTTCTTTTACCAAATTTACTCAAGAGGTGTATGTCTTGCACGCCATTAATCATTGATATCAATAGTCACAGAGTCAAGGTTGATTTATACCAAAAAGGTTTAGTTGACTAATTTTGGCAACTCAAAAGTCTAATAAGCTCGATGATGGGTCCCAATTGAGTACTACAAATACTACCCGAGAAAGTTGGGGAAGGATTTAGATGTTTAGAGAGAGAGAGAGGGGGGTATGGCATGTGTGTATGTGTGGTTGGAAAATTAGATAAAGAAAAGTGGTGAGTCAGCAAAGGGAAGATGGTAGTGATCCAAAAACATGTCCTAATCCAAGGTAGCCCCCCACCCTATCAAACAGCTTTCACATCCAAACACCAAATTCAAATTCAATAATGTTTTGTTCTATAATGTTATCTCTTACTTGGAAAAATATATGTTTGTAGGGCTCCTTTTCACTCTATTTCTATC